CCAGAAGTTAGTGGGCAAACTGATTTCTTGGTTGTCTGTGGCGGCAGATTTTAGAAACTGTAATGTATCAGATGTATTTTTTTCCTTGTCTTGATGGCCTGTGTAATCGCTGTTTAGATCAGTCAGCCTGTTTAGGGACTGATCTCAGCCTCCAGTGTGTATTTCATTCTCAATAAATATTACTTTACCTTTTCCAAAAAAAATATTAGATGTATCCAAGTGATAAGTTTGTTTGAGCTAATTAATTAGCTTTTAGATGTCCAAGTAATCCACTAGTCACAGTGGGAGATAAGGAAAACGTAGATGACTGAAAAAGCAAATGAGAAATGAAAGAAATGCCTTAAATGATAAATTAGGTCTTAATATGGTTGTAACTCAAGCCTAAGTTGAACAAGCCAGAAACTCAGTTCTCCCAGTGGCAACTTGATTAACTTTTTGCCATCTACATTCTTGTTACATGTAAAAACAGAAATCCGTGTAATACATGCATTAAATTTATAGAAGTTCTCTCTTCTCTCTCTCTCTCTCTCAAGTCAAAACCTTGACCTTGAGCAATACTCTTTTACTGCCGTTGTTACTATTATTTATTTATTTTTTTTATGAGTATCATTGTTAGTGCTATTTTTGTTTTTGTTTGTTACTAGTATTTTATGATCATTGCTATTTTGGACTTTCTTGTGGTTACAGTGCTATAGAGAAGTGAAACCAGGAAGGTATGGAGCTCTTGGCAAACCGTTAGAGGGATCTAATTTATGGTATGGGGTTGCTTGTCTTTTATGATGATTTTTTTTTTCATGGCTCGGGTAGGTACTGGGTAGAGATAACTGTTCCACTGCGTTTTAAGTTAAAAAAAAAAAAAAAACTTAGGTTGCATTATTTTCGCTGTAAAGACTTCTGAAATTCAATAAGCTTGTCACTCATCTTTGTAAAGGTTGCCACAAATAATGAATGAAGAGACAGTTTTCTATCCTGATTTATCCTGTGACTGTTTGTTCTGTAGTTAAGATGGTGTTAGTAGATGCGTGGGAATTTGTTGAACTGGCTAGCCATTCTTAACCCAAAAGAGAAAAAAAAAGAAGTTTCTGGTACAGTTTTTGAATATAAAAAGTTGATTTCTTTCTTGTCTTTTCCCTGCAGGCCAGATAATCCCCCAAACTTTAGCTCACTGATGGAGGAGTATATCAGCCTTCTTACAGGCATGCATCCCAAGCTGAGTTTATTTGTTTCCTTATTCATTCATCTGTTCCTTGTTTTGCTACATCTAGGTTTATGTATACAAGTTTGGATACATATTACCCTGTGTGTGTGTGTGTGTGTGCGCGTGTGCACATGCTATTTGAGCGGTGGAACCAAGTATTAGCTCTTGATCATTGTCAGATCTTGCAAGAAACATAATGCGAGGAATAGCTCTAGCACTAGGTGGATCAGCAAATGAATTTGAGGGTGATAAAGCTGGAGATCCATTTTGGGTGATGCGTTTGATTGGTTATCCTGGTGCTTCTGATGCCAAATGCCCAGAAATGCCAGAAAATGACATTGGATGGTAATGAAACACCAATTATCAGTCAAAATTTTATTGAAATTTTCTTTTTTTGAGTTTTGAAGGGTCTTACTGATGGTTTTCTATTTTCATATATACTGTACAAACAATTCCAGTGGAGCTCACACCGACTATGGTAAAGTTTTTTACTTGTTTGCTTTTATGATGCATCTCTCTATGTGTTTTTTTCAATGTATCTCCCCTCTGTGTTGTTCATATATTTTCCATGTTTCTATTAGCATGTCATTATTAGTGAGAATGACTTAGACTTCTAGGCACTAATCTTCCAATTCCAAGTTTTGCTGATGTGCATGAAAGAAGTATCCTTCTAGCTGCCCACAAACCAAATAAGCTAAATAGTTATAAATGATGTTTTACACAGGGCTCCTGACCTTGGTAAATCAGGATGATGATATTCCTGCACTTCAGGTATATTTAATTATCTTTGCCCATTGCAATCTTCCATTAAATTCCAAAGGAACAAAATAATAAGTTTTCTTTATAATTTCCATTAAAACCATTTAAAGAATGCTTACAATGTCTTCAGAAGAGGGTGGGCCTTGGCGCAACGGTTGGGTTGGTCCATTGCAACCTGGGTGACCAGGGTTCAAATCTTGGAAAAGCCTTTCTGTATGTGAAGGGGTAAGGCTGTGTACATCTGTTCCTCCCCAGACCCCACATTGGTGGGAGCCTTGTGCACTGGGCTGCCCTTTTCAATGTCTTCAGGAATAATCCATTTGACTGGAATCTGTCAATTAGATAGCATTCTAGATACGGCACATGCAAACCTTCCACTGGACTGTTAAATGATATAGACTTAAATAAAAATAACCAATAAAACTGTATTTTATTGGTTTCCAATACTAATTCCAGATCCCAAAGAAAATCTTTGATCTCCTATTACCTAACCAAAACTGCAACACAAGAACCCTGATGGACTTCATTGACTAAGTTAACACACAGTAGTGGGATTTCCTGGTTAAAAAGCAAACTTTTTGTCTGGAATGCTTGTTGAGCCGGTCCAAAACCAAAGACCTAAATGCAGCCTTAGTTTTGATTCTATCTCTAGCCTTGTCTTAAAAAATATGCCTATTCTGTTCTCTCTAAATGCCCCAACAAGCTACAGAAGGGATAATGATCCAAAAGGTTTGGCTTTTTTGCTACTCATCAGTCTTGGTCATTTAGTGAAGATCTCCTTTGGTCGAGGGAGTACCAACAAGGTTTCCTGAAATAACACAGAAAAGAAAAGCCAAACAAACTCTGCAATTCTGCACTATATAAATAAGTGAGATCTTTCTCCTGCTGCTTACACATAAAGCAAATGATTGGAAACTGAATCCCCTTGTCATCAACCAATATCTTGAGGAGCACTTCAGTCGTTTAATTGAGCATACATCCTTGCGTTGCCCTGTTTCAGTCGAGGCTTGTGCATCCTTGTGAAATATTTTAAATGTGTATGCATTCTTGCATCGACTTTTTAGGGCCAAGGCCAGCATATCCTTGGGAAGTATGACTTAGTAATCTCCAATACATCCAGGACTTTCAGCTTCACATGTTATCAAAATTGGAAATATTTGAGACTCGTAGCTTGAGAGCTGACTCTACTTTTCATCCTTTGATGTTAGCTTTCTCAAGATTGTTGGTTTCTTCTAGAGTATAAATGCTGATAATTCTGGAATCCTATCAGACCCTCGAAATTAAACTTCTTGGTTTGGGTTTTGGTTCTGGATAGATGCCTAACTAAAGATAATTTGGGTAGAAAAGGCCTGCAGCTCAGACCTGAACTGTGGTCTCTGTGGGCTTCATCCAGAATCTGTTGATCATATGAGTATTCACTGCTCAGTCTCTTCCAAAATCTGGGAACATTTCCTCAAAGCTGTTGCTGTTAGCTGGACTATGCCTTGCTCAGTTAAAGACCTTTGGTATTGGACTGGCTTGAAAAAGAAAGGGAAACTGATCTGGAAGATTATCCCTGTGCCTGTCCTTGTTTTGATCTGGGCAGAAAGGAACAACTGAGTCTTTTGTAACAAAGAAAAAAGTGTGGATGAATTAGTCCATTGTGCTGCGAGTAGGTTGGTCTCTTGGGTTTCTGTAATCGAAGAGTTTAAGCAGCAGAGTATCTCCCAGTTGCTTAACTCTTAGTCTTTGTGGAACTTTTAAGCTGGCTTCTCTCTCCTGGATAGAGTTTTCCCTCTACCAGGAACTTCTTGTACTTTGTTTTTCTCTTATCAATAAAATCTTTACCTTACCTTTCAAAAATAATAATAGTAATTCTGTATGTATAATTCTTCCATTGTTTAACATAAGTTGTTTCCTAAGATTGAAAACAAAACTTGCACAAAGGAGGCTATAGTGAACAGGGCAGTGGTAACTCTGTTCTCATGGCTGTTGGATCATAAGTGCTTTAAAGGATTATTTTGCAGAACATGTTCTGATTAAGACAATTTATTCATAAATTGTAATTATTAACAGAAGTAAACAGATTGAACATCTCCATTGTACATAGCCTTAGGGTAAAAAGTGTTGATTTTTTGCCATTTACTAATAAAATCCATACTTCTAAAAAAAGCCTCGATAGTAAACATGGCTCCATATATTCTTTCAAAACTTTATTGCAGCAATTTGCACTTATTTTACACATGTCTTTAAGGCAAGGTTGAGGTAAATCCTGCTCTTGAATTGGCTGCTACAATTACTGAATCTCGAAATGACGTTCACCTGGCCATTTAGGATGGTGCTTTGTAGGGGCCAGTGTTTCCTGTGATATTGATTTTTAACCTCCTTTTTCTAGTAGATTGTCTGAACAATTACCATTATTGTGGTACTTTGAGAATATTTTTCTTCTCTGTAGGTTAGAAATTTATCTGGTGAGTGGATATGGGCAGTTCCCATCCCTGGCACATTTGTCTGCAACATAGGTGACATGTTGAAGGTATGGTTGTATCCAAAATGAATCCTCCATCTTATATTGTCACAAAATTTCACTTAAGAGGAATTGCAGATTTGGTCAAATGGGTTGTATGAACCAACTTTGCATCGAGTTATCAATAATTCCCCAAAATACCGGGTCTCTGTAGCCTTCTTCTACGAGGTATGTGTCTCCTTCTCTCTCTCTCTCTCTCTCTCCAACTATGTCCTCATGGATGCTTGTGCTTCATGAACAGCCAAATTTTTATGCTGCTATAGAGCCCTTGGAGATATGCAAGCAAAAGACTGGTGGGGTTGAGAAATTTGGAAGAGCTGTTTATGGAGAGCATTTAGTCCGCAAAGTCACCACCAACTTTGTGATGTAAGAGTTTGTAGCTTTTATTTTCACTGTAATGTTGTATTAATCTTTGTCTAACACCTTTCCATCATAAACCAAATTTGTTTATGTGATTTGTATCTCTTGCATTAATGCCCTTGTTGTACATTGACCTTGGCTGGGGTTCCTTCAGGCTGGATTATCCCCCAACCTTACTGTGTTTGCTAATTTGCATGAGATTTCTAATTGAACTTGGAATTTAATATTCTAATGACATTGGAGGTAGTAGCATGCTTATTTGATGTCTTCACAATCTTCTCATGTTAGTGAGGTTGACTATCATCTTTTTCCATCGCTAAAGTGATAAATTAGATAGATATCGTCCGTTGGACTACTATGGTGTTTTCAAGTTCAAAGTATCAATATCACAAAGAATTGATATGCTTGATTCTTTGGATGTCCAATGGTTCAAAGTATCGATATGCTTGATAGGCATCTCAAACAAACACAATATTGGATCGAAAAATAATAAGAGTTTAAGAACTGAGGGAGGACATCTCCAGGAGGGGTTTTAACCTCTAAAAGTGGCCAGATGTCCCAACTCTCTATTTAGTGTATTGGTCACCCAGAGAGGCGGTATCAATACTTTGAAGTTTGAACCTTGCAATAGGCTATTCGAGTTGGATTGAATTCAAACAAAAAGCTATTACTACTTAATGCATCAGTTTGGATTAACCCAATAGTATCGAGAATTCATGCAGGTGAAATGTGTTTGATCCTGAGCAAAGGGTTTATTATTTTTTGTTTTCGTATTACTATCGGAAAAATTTATAACCAATTAATCCGTATTATTGAAGTGGTAACCAATCATTTCAAGAATTGGGATCTGGTCCTCACAGAATGCGCCTCACAGTCTTATCCCACCCTGTATTGGGAACATCTCCCCAAGAATAATAAATAGAGAAATTTTCTTATTAGCATCCTGTACTTTGGATCTAATGCCAATTTAGTCCTTGAACTTTAAAATGCGATAATTCAGTACCTGAATTTTCAAAACGTGTCAATCTAATACATACCACTAGCCAGTTGTTAACTAGCCGTTAAGTGGCATTTGAAAAAGACACAAGTGCCCTTCAAATGTCATCTAATTTTTTTTATCAACCATCCAAACGTTGTCAAAAAATCAACAGTCATAAATCATTCTCTTTTGTTCAAGAAAGTTGGGGGGTCTAGAATGCCCATTGAGACGTGACCCCAACTTTCTTGAATAAAAAAAGCAAGGATTTGAAATTGTTAATTTTTTGTCAACATTTGGACGATTGATGTCAACAGTTGGTTAATGGTAGGTATTAGATTGACAAGTTTTGAAAGTTTGGATACTGTTGTCGCATATTGAAGTTGGGGACCAAAGTGGCACTAGACCCAAAGTACAGGGTACTAATCGAGAATTTTCCCTAATAAATACAAGTCTGGAAGATGTTCTCAATGTACAGCCAGGACATGTTGTGAGGTCAGTGTGAAGTGCATTATGTGAGGAGCAGTTCCGGACTCCCCCCCTACATCGGAAATATCTCCTATACTGCAAGTGCTGTGAGGTGGGGGTGAGGAGGATTGCGTGAGTAGGAATTCTGGATTCCAGCTTTGGCTAGACTATCTAATGTCTTCTTAATCTAGTTGCCACCTTGAAAAAATTTGAATTTTGAGAGTTGTAGCCTATAGAGCTGTTGCACTTCAAGAGCTTGAAATTAACAGGGGGTTTGACTTATTGGCATCGAAACTGGGCCCTTCCACCAATGCCCTATTGCAGGTTAAACCTTGGTTGTTTCAATCTTTATTTTCTGCTTTCGAATGGCCATCAAGATTATTTATCTGAAAAGAATACAAAAAAATAAAGTTAAGTGTGGAGCCTTTTGGGTGAAGAGATAACAAAGGGGTCTAACTATTTTATCTGAAGAGATTATTTCCGCAGTTGAGGGTCTAACTATTTTATATGCAGCAAATGAAAAAAAATAATAATAATTCAGCGGAATCAAACAAATAACAAAGGGGTTTTCGTCAATGATTCAATGTGAATGTTTTATTTTTTTAAAATAAAAATAAGTGGCATAACAACAAAAACAACACATTTTTACCGATGTGGCAGTTGTTCTTGTATTAGAAAAAGAAAAAGAAAAAACAAAACCATCGAACACCCAAAATTAAAAAGAGTTAAAAGAAAAAACAGAGTTAATCGCAACCACATTGGGCGCATTATGATTTTTCTTTCTTTAATCGAGATACTACAAAACCCCACGTCGTGGAGACATTCAAGGCCAAATACAGGGTCAATGATCAAAAGGGGAAGCAGGTGCGGATTACTTAAGTGTAGAATACAGCACCGTTGCGTCGGAATATTCTGGTTATCGTTCACAGTAGTGAATGAGAAGATCTTGGCTACAGTATAGAGCCTTAAGACATGTTGTCATCAAGCCTAGCTAGAAAGTAGAAACTCCATGACATTGACATGGTTTTATGCTTTCAATTTGGTATGGCTTCTGGAGTGGGATACCTCTGGAGCCAAAAGCTGCTTCATTGCGGTGGTCTAATTTAGCTCCACTCTTAATGGCGGAAAGCAAGCGCACTCAACAGCTGCTAGCACTAGCACAGACATATATTGTACATTTGCACATTCCTTGATTATAACCAAATCCCAATAACAAAATAATATTTTTAGTGCAGTTGACAGTTGAGACATTGTGGTGCTGTTTCAGTTTCAAAACCAATTGCGATGACAAGGGTGCTCAAGCGCATTCCCAATAGGTATTGGAATCTTCCTTTTCTTTTTCCTAAGAAATATCAAATATCAAATACAAACCAATTGAGACATTGTGGACCTTTGAAATCTTCCTTTTCTTTTTCCTAAGAAAAAAGTGAACTTTTTATTGTTAATTATAGGGAAAATTCCCAATAGGTATTCTGTACTTTAGGCCAAATGCTAATTTAATATCCGAACTTTAAAACGCGACAATCTAGTACTTTTACTTTCATTTTGCGACAATCTAGTACCTACCGTTAACAGACCATCAGTTATGTATATCACGTGACCTCATGTGCGATTTGAGACTTTTAAAAATGTCAAAATTACCCTTGGACATTGTTGATCATCTTCTTTTTCGATAAGATGAAACAGAACCCAAACACACTGTTCATCATCTTCTTTCTCAAGAAGACGTTTTAACTGATTACCTCCGATTAGTCGCAGCAGCAAATCTCTTGTCGTCACCAACTTCTTCTTCTTCTCTGGCTTGGGAGTCCTGCAAGAGGAGCCAAAGAAAATGGGGTCTGAGTGCACAATAAAATCGTTGCACCAAGACATGAAAGAAAAAGGAAATAAAAGAACGAGAGGGGAGAATCAGCTAATGTGTGCTGAGGTGAGTACCGGTTAAAAAGGGGGCCGGTTTAGATCACCGGTGACATCGGAAAGCTGGTGCAGTTTTTGAACAAAATTTGAAGAAAAAAGAAGAGAGAGAGAGAGAGAGAAGAAGAAGAAGAAGAAGATAACGAGAAATAACGAATGAGAAAAATGGAAAAACAGAGAAATCATGATTTGACTAATCTTCAGTCTTCACTTGGGTAGAAGTAGGACTGCTGTGCATGCAATCGAGTTGATGAGATGAGTGGTGGGATTCATCTATCTCGGTGCTTGATCAAATCCAGCCGTCGGTTCCTTTAGTCATGGTGAACTGCAGATCGGAGAGTTGTCGATCCTCTTGCTTGGGTCGACGGAAGTGGTGGCGGTTGTCTTCTGCAAGGGAAGATCGGAGTGGGGGTGCAATGACCATTTTTGTTCTGAAGATGGTACAAGGGAAGGTGGTGGTGGTTGGGGTGTAGAAGAGGTGAGATCTGGTGCTATTGGTGTAAGTTGAGGAGGGGACAACGACGATGACGAGAGCGATGGAGGATGAGGAGACGGTGGTATTGGCCATCACTTTTTGATCCTCATCGTCGACGGAGTGGATGGAGAGAGAAAGTGAGGGAGAAGATGAGAGACGAGAGATGAGGACAACTCCGGCGGCGTCTGCAACGACGATTAATATTTATCAAACCTGGTTTTAGCCCTTTTTTTGAATTGGTATCAGATACTGTCATCGTTAGTTTGCCAAGTGATCTTACTAACGGTTTGAGGGATTTGTCCGCTGAGGTTGTTATGCTTGAGATTGAAGCTTAACGTCACCGACAATCTGCCAAGTGATCTTCGGATCTCTCTGGAGAAATGATTGAAGGAGAGGTTTAGAGTCTCGGAAAGTGATTTCAAATCATCGAGATCAGCTGGGATCGATCTATTGAATTCGTTTGACGACAAATCGAATTCAACCAAGTTATCAAGATTGGGCCAAATTCAATTGAGAATCTTGACAGAGAACAAGCCTCTGCAACTAAAGGCGGGGGGAAATGATAGATCGAAGGACATTTTTGTCTTTTTGCATGTCAGTTAATGACCGATTAACGATGGGTATTAGATTATTTCAAAATAAAACTTAGGGTACAGTCGACATAAAGTATAGGGTAACTATCGAGAATTTTCCCTTAACTATATTATATTACCCGTAAAATCACCCAGAAGGGCTGTGGCTGCGATGACTCCAAAATAAATAAAGTAAATACCCCATCCAGAGTCCAGACCGGTGGTGGTCCATCATAACCCAATATTGTTTTGGTCTCCTCATGCTCATTCTCCATCCTGTCTTGGAACATTAATTTCTTCTACTCATATTAATCTCGTTATTATTGCCACTTGTGTCAGCAGCAATACAATACCATTGCTTTTAAACTTATTATCTGCTTGCGCTTGGTGTGATTCTGGATTCAATTCAACCAACCTGATGAGATTGAAGCCGGGCTGCCTTTGAAAATCTTCCTCCATCATCATAGAATTATACCCTTTCTGTGCTTGCAGTCTTTAATTTGTATCCTTGGCTTGGGAGACCTTTTCGGTACAATTTCCACATTCCATTTGATCTGTTGAGGCGGACAAACGTGTGTCAGAGAGATTTGCAGACTGACTCAATTGTCAGCTCCTTTTCCACATTAGCTCATGCATGCAGGACGAATTAATGGATCTCCTCTTGTACTTCTTTCAATTATATATTCCTATCTCTTTGCTCCATCTTAATTAATTAGAATGCACCTGGCTTCCATGGGTTTTAGAAATTGGAACACCAAAATATCCTATCCGTCCTTTAATAATTTTCTAACAAATATCCTTCTTAATCTTTTCTTTTATCTTCATCAAATAATTCCACCATCTCGACTATGAAGTTGGCTTTAATTGCCCCAACAATCCACATCTAGTGTTTGCGGTTGATCATTGCTTATCACTCGATGCCGAAATCTTTGGATATTTCTAGGCTGTGTTATTGATTCGGCAGAAATACAAGATGGAGAAGGATGAGCTGATTAATGCTGCTTTTTTTTTTTATAGGTTTCGTTGTTGTATCGACTTAGAATTAAAATAAGGTGTAAAATCTGGAGAATTAGTTGATTTTCCCGGTGTTCTCCATTGTCATTTAAGCGGAGTGGAAAATATCAAAATATCATAATGTAATGTAAATGATCGAGTTAATACTTTGCCGCGAGATGTAATTAATTTCAATACAGAACTTACATATATTTTGGCAAAGCTCTCTCTCTCTCTCTCTCAATGCTTTGAAACGGGAACAAAAGTTATACGCCCACTAACATCCAATCACGAATGTTGACACTCACCGTTCCACTTTTAGTTTTGATATTGAATCGCATAAGATTCAGACTGCTGGTTCTTTGTAATGCTGGGTAAATGCAACAACTACGTACAACTTAAGGCTACTGATTGAAGGGCCAATGGTTATTTCTGGATTTGTGTAGTAATCAATTAGTAGGTACACAGATTTTGACACAACATAACTCTACTGAACGTTCACCATTTTGAGTTCCGATCCACAATGAACGATGATCAGAACCATTCATTTCGTAGATTTCTTATTATTACAGATATACAGACACTGGAGAAATTAAAACATGTTAAATATAATTGACAAGCAAGTCTTTCCTTGGATTAGACATTAGAGAAACTGGTAGTAATTATTCTTATTTGAGAGTGCAGGACAACCTTTTTCTTTCTTGGGTTCATATATCCTTTCCTTTACGTACAATTCTTAATAATAATCAAGAAATTAAAGTAAATTAGTAGTTATGGCAACGGCGGCGGTCGACGATGACTTACCAGTGCGGAGTAAGAAGGCGAAGTAAAAGACACTGCGGTCTTCGAAGGCGGCAAGGAATGAAGAGAAGAGTGATTGATGTTGCAAGGAACGACGTTAGCATTATACCGCGGGAGGGAGCTGGGACAGTGCTTGAGATGGAAGTAGTAGAAGTCCCAGCACTCAGCTGCTGGTCTCTGGTTGGGAAGGCCGTGAATGCAGTTGTTACTCACATCGAGCACTCCTCTCTTGATCAAACTTCTACAGGTTGGGCCCAAGTATCTAAAATAATTATCGGACAAGGACAAGTTTGCCAGGTTTCCCAGACCGCACACCTCCTCCGGTATCTTGCCGTAAAACTGGTTACCCGCCAATTTTAGCACCTCCATCTTCTCTAAACACGCAAACGAGCAGGGGATAGGACCTGTGAGAAAGTTGTTCCCAACGTCAAACACCGTCGCCGATGTCAACAGCCCGATCTCGTAAGGGAGGCAACCCGATAGCTTGTTGTTCAAGAAGAGCACCTCCACTAAGGTCGCAGAAGCGTTGCCGATGCTACGCGGAATAGAACCCACGAAGTTATTGTTTGCAAACGTTAGATAGCGTACCGGAGTATTTCCCAGGTTATTTGGGAGTGTCTGCATGAAGTTGTTGTTGTTTATGAAGAGAACGTCAAGAGGTTGCGTGAATATCTGGGCTGGCACTGACCCGCTGAAGGAATTAAAACGAATATCCAAGAAGGAAAGTCCGTTCATGCCCAGCACCGCCGTCGGGAACTGACCCGAGAACAAGTTGTTACTTATGTCGAGCTCGTACAAGTAGCGGAGTTGGGCGATCTTCGGGGAGATGATGCCGGTAAAGTTGTTGGTGTTGGCATGGAAGATGGCGAGATCAGGGAGCAGATCGATGAAGCCGTCGAGGGTAGGTGCGGCAAGTTGGTAGCCATTGAAATCAATGCCGGCAAGAGCCCTGACGCTCGGATCGTCAGGTGGGTTGTCACAGTAGAAGCCCCTGTAGTTGCATATGTCGGAGCCTACCCAGGTACTGGTGATTCCCAAGGGGTCGGAGGTGATAATGTTCTTGAAGCTTTGGATTATGGGGTACACCAAAGCGAGCCTTTGGTTTTCGAATACTAGGTCTGGTGCAGGAGATGGCGAACAATTGCAGACTTCACCAAGTGGATGATCACTTGCTGCTGCTTTTCCGCTGATGCCGCTATGACCTGCGTTGATTTCAAGAGCTTCTCTACTGGTTATTTTGTAGACTGCAGCGTCCCCCAATGCGTGTAGGAAACAGGGAAGGAGAGTGAGGATGATGAAGGTGAGAACTGGAGATTTGACGGGGAAAGGAATGGTACTCATATTTGTTTGGATGTTCTTTGCTTTCTTTTCCCCCTTGTAAAGACGAGTACAAGTCATGAGTACCCAATGGAGATAGAAAAATGGGATTTAATTGGAAGAAAGAAGTTACAAATAGACGTACGGGGTGATGGATGAAAATACTGATACACCCACCTTGAGCTTGAGGTCCAATTATTTAAGTACTGGACGAGGAAGAAGCATCATAATAGTAATTCGATCTGGTTTTCATCAATAGAGTTTTGATGGGCGTTTGTTTAACACTTGTGATGATCAGTCTTCTAATTCATTCGTTGTTGTTGCTCTGCCAGCTACTTGCTGAGCTGAGAGGTCGTGAATAAGCATGAACTTTTTGAACTCTCTCTGGCTCTGTAACTGTCTCTGTCTCTGTCTCACTCATTATATTCAAAGAGGTGAGGTGCATTCCTATTTGGGAATTGGGATCCAGCAGTGGATGGGATCAGCTCCTGATACTGATACTGATAGGTAACCGCTAAGCAGCACTATCCGGAATTAAATAAAACTCAATGGCTCAAAGTTTCAAAGAAAAAGAATAATGGTGATGAGCACGCTTTTGCTTATTGAATCACCACTAGCTCGCTTTGTTCCCATTTCTTTTTTAAGTTGTGGCGTTTCTACTTTTCACATTGGACAACGACATTATCACGAATAAGTGCGCCAACGAGAGTGGGCGAACTTTGTTTTTGCTGCGTCTCATTCCTACTCTCCCCCACCTTACTTTTTTTTTTTGTAATTTTTTACGTGTTGATCAATAATTCTCTCTCTCTCTCTCTCTGTTTCATACACAAGTCATCATACAAATGACATTAATGACCAAGTTTTTTCCCAACCATTACCCACTTAATAATCTTCTTGCTTTCATAATTCTCAGTTTAATACTAATGATGTATAATTAACATTCCAAATACTCGCATTTGATGATAACTTTGGTCGGATAACCTCCTATGTTGTAAATGGTACTTTCGCTAATTAATACATATAAGTTGTAATAAAATTATATAAATATATTTGGACAAATATCTTAAATTACCCTTATCTTTTAGATAATTGGCTAACTCTATTGTCTTAAAGTATTTCTATCATTTCTCACAATTGACGTGGTTGTTAAGTGGTGATGGATAAAGCAAAATATCAAATTTGCCCTCTATTATTATTATTATTATTTTTAAATTTACAAAATAAAACCCAATGGATGAAAAATCTTAGGATGATAGGAAGCAAATCACTACTCCATTTCCACCTCCATCTCCATTTTCAGTCTCTGCATCTCCTTTTTGGGTCTCTGTCGCCATCTCCGTCTGTGTCCTTTCTTGCAGAGGAATCACTACTTGCGGATTTAGATCCCAACATAGCTTCTAGTTTCAGTCTTTAGCTCTGAATCTAAGCTTACAACAGTCCCTTCATCCATCAGAAATAATTAACAGTCGTTGGAGAATACATCCTTCCCTGTAATTCATTTTCCTTTTGATAATGATTGATCAACAAAATTCTTAAGTGGCCACCCCTCTACTGGAGTCAATTACTCTAATCCATCACTTTAGCGTTCAACTCCAAGACGAGATATTTTAATCTGCCAGAAGCAACTGATAGTCATTGGAGAACACATTTCGGATACGGTGCCATTAAAATTCACAAGCAAACTTAAAGCAGATTTGCTTAGCTATTGAGAATGTATGGGCTGCCGATTGAGTGCTAGCACGTCATCTCTATTTCAGAGAAAAGCTCACATTCTAATTCACCCACTAGAAATTTTTGTCCGGAGGAAAATCCACATGAGGATTTGATGTTCTTTTTTTCTTCAATTTGAAGGAGATTTAGAGCAAGTAGATTTGCGGTACTTCTGCCAGAAGTCACATAAAGATGCATATGCAAGGATATGCAGTTGGTCGGGCTGTAGACTTGACTGTGTTGGAAGGGTATGATCAGCTTATAAATGAACTGGAGGAGATGCTCGACATTAAAGGAGCGCTCCGTCCACAGAATAAATGGAAAGTTGTATACACTGATAACGAAGTAGACATGATGCTTGTGGCTTTGTTTTCTTTTCTCCTTCTGAAAATCGATCAATCATTTCTCTCTTGAGCACCTTTCTCACTTTTCTTCTTTCTCTGTAGTTGTTTCTGTTCCGACAGCCGCACACCGGATGCCAGTAGAGAAACCACCAGAAATGTTTTGTCTTTTGATATTGGTAGGACATGAGAAGAGTGACTTAGCACCAGAGATGCATAGGTGGAAAGCAGAGATACCAGAGATAGAGGGAGAGGTTAAGAATTATAATGATAGTTTAAGAAATTTGTCCAATATAACTGATTGTCCCAACTGAACCCAACTGTTGATGTCAGTTTTGGTTCTATGATTTTGATGAAACCGGTTCTGTTCCTCACACAGGGCGCCTCACATCTATCATGCATTGGGACATCTCCCGTACTTATAAAAGTTATAACTCATGGGAGATGTTCCCAATGTACTGGTGGATGTATCTGTGAGGCGCCCCTGTGTGAGGAGTACAACCTGTTCCCCTTTCCCATTAATAGTTGGGTCGGTTTCACTTTTTACCTATTTTGAACCAATTTATACCCAAACCAATTATTTTATTAAGTATTATAACTTTTATCTTATTTTATGTTTGAAATGATAAATTTGAAAAATAATATATAAGATAATATTAGTTAAAGTGTAACTTATTACCATATAAATAATTTATTATTTCACTATCATTTTTATTGAGGCTATATTATCAAAGTCTAAGTTTTAATTTATTATTTAAATAAATAAATTTAATTTTCAGTATAATTGTATCTATCGGATCAGACCTGATAGACCCGGCCATTAACCCGAATGATTTGGGTCTGTAAATTTGTCCCACTTAATAATTGGTTCGGGTCTAGAACCACCCTGTCCCAACTCAGACCCGATTTATTGACAGCCCTAAAACATTGTCAAGGACTGGATAAAATTGGCTCTCCTCCTACCCTCTACCCCTTGGGTGTCTTCCCATTCACGAAATGATACCTATGAGTCTATGACTTATCATTTCTAACCATAAGGATAGGAGACAGGATAAGTTTGAGGCTGGATCTGCTTCAATATAAAGGAATTTGGATTAGTTGAACGCAATAACTGTTTAGTCAGCTATATAATCAATGATGAGGTTTTATGTCAATAATAAATTTATGGACCTCACCGTAAAAAAGGGTAAGTCCCTTATATTTTATTACTAACATAGAATCTTATCAATAGTTCCATAGCCTATTGAACAACCACCACATTTAGCTAATCCTTGCTTAACATAAAGCTGCTCCACTTTTATAAATATCTTGATTGGTTTACTTTTGTGATAGGAATTGAATGGTTGTAATAAAACCCTGTTTGGCATGTCTTTTTGTGCCGGTTGTCAGCTGTTTAGAAGCTTGACAGATCGTGTTTTAAATCTAGTTATCAAAAGACGTTGCCCCAAATAGACGCATGAAGCCCATTTTGGTCTATTTTTGGGAAATTTCAAATTTATCTTTTTGATTTTTTTTTCATCATGTCTTCACATGAAAAGATGCACCAGAAGACATGCCTTAATCAAACAGTCTTCAGGTTGCTGAGATTTTAATGCAAAAGCTCATATCATCTTTTTGCTATCAAATCTACAAGAAGATTCTTCAAAAAAAGACTTGCTAAATGGCACCAAGTTTTTGAGCATAACGTATTCCTAATATCATATCATTGTAGTCACCCATCCACACCCACACCCACCTACCATATTCATAATACCATCAACCTGGTGGCAGTAGAACTTGATCCAAATCTCTACAGCAACGAGTCAAAGATCCATAATTGAATCACCCAAAAGAACAAGTAAGAGAAAATCCGGAATTGACGACTAAATTAACGGTCGAGAGAAATTACAAACATGTTTAGCTAAGGTTTGCGTTGCTTTATTTCCTATACGAGGGATGTAGGAAACAAGGTAGTGATGAAATTCAAGTAAAATACTCCGGCAGTCTTCGAAAATTGAGTGTAAGCACCAAGAGACCTCAAAGTTACGGTCCAACACAATAGTGTAGTGATCTTCTTCATGCACATGACTAAGCTTTAGATCTTGTTGGAGGGAGATTCAAATTTACAAGAATCTCTCTCCTCCCTCTTTTATTTTTGTCCTTTCCTCCCTTGAATGACTCCTTGTCCTACATTGTTTGATAAAGAAGTGGGAATAGAATATATTTGTAGTTTTGCTCCCTCTATGGGTAAGGACCCATAGGAGGAGAGGACTATATATATTCCATACATGTGAGGGGGGGTTGGGGGTGCTTTTCACATGCACACGCTGAACCGGGCCAGGCCTGATCGGGTCTGATCAGGGCATGGACGCGGATGCGCGTGTATATGCGCGATGCACTGAATCATTTGTTTTATCCGAATTACACCTTTTCAATTTTAAAACATGTCTCTTCAAATTCAAATTTAATTTTTAAATAAATTTATTTTTCTTTTTTTTGTGTCTCTTCTTCCTCCTTGTGCCTCTTTGAACAGGTGCACTGTTCTGAAGAGGCTATTCTTTGAAAGGACCTATCTCTACTAGCCCCTTCATGAGGAACCGAATACTGTTAACAGTTCTTGATTTCTCTAAAATTGAACCCTTCAATGGAACCAACTACAAGCGTTGGAGACAATGCCTGTTGTTTGCCTTAGAACGGTTAGGGGTAGCTTTCGCTTTGACTGAACCAAACCCATTAAACATGGAGGAACCAGCCCGTTCTATTTGCAAAACATTGGATTACAGCCAACCACCTCTACACCAACCATATCCTAAATTGCTTGTCCAATGAACTATACAATGTTTATTCTTCCTACAATTATGCTTATGAAATCTGGAATGCTTTGGACACTAAGAATGCTCTAGAAAATGCTGGAAACAAGAAATATGTAATTGCCAACTTCCTGCACTTCACTATGAAAGAAGACGTTGATGTGTCTGGTCAAATAGATGAGTTTCAGGTTCTTGTGGGGGAACTGGCAAAAGAAGGTACGGTACTGCCAGATGAATTCATTGCCGGTTTTCTCATAGAAAAACTGCACATACATAGAATGATTTCAAGACCGGTATGAAACACAAGAGGAATGACACTACTTTGGACCAAGTAGTGGTCCAAATTAAGATTGAAGAAAAAGAACAGAAAGAAAGATGAGGACCCGTTTTCCAAAACCAATCTGGTGGAGGAAAAGACTACAAAATTCAAAAAGAACTTGAATGTGAAAAATGATAAAAAATTCAAGAAACAACACAAGAAAGGGAACTGCTATGTATGTGGCAAACTCAGACATTACAAGAACTTCCGATACCAGAAGGACTCTAAGAAACCGAAAGTCAATTTGACTGAGGATGTTATCGCAGCAGTGGTAATTGAGGTAAACTTAGTTGATAAGCCAAAGGAGTGGGTATTGGACA